AGTGCTCATATATCGATCCAGAAATATCGATTGTTACAAACAATGTTGTAACAATATTGAGTCAACATCTCAGAAACATTGAATTGTAAAATACGTTTGAAAATACATTATTCCAGAAACATTTATTGAAACGTCTATTGAAATAATATCTTGCAGACGTTGCAATTCAACATTTTTTTAATATCATATAAATTCTAAGATTGTTAGATTCCGAAGTTAATTTTTACCCAAAATTAAATAAAATGTTTCCAAAATATATTACTTTTATCTTGAAACCTTCGGGTCAGCTTCTAAAAATTATTTCATTAAAACATGGGTAAAAAATTTTATAATACTATGCCTTTTATTTTATCCAATGTAGTTTTTAATTACGAGAAAATTACTCCGCTGTGTCTATTAAAAAACAGTACCACATACTATCTTTAAGTAAGCGATTTTAATATTAATTTGTTCAATGTTGTTGTAGCAATATTAAGAATCAATATCAAAAAAATCGACATCAATCAAATACAGATTCAATTTAAAAAACATTCACATTTTAACATATCAACATTGAATCATAGTGATATTTATAAAAACGTTGATAGTTCTAATGACATTTCTAAAATATTATATGTCTAAAAACGTTGATAAAAATCATACAAAATCAATGCTTCGATATTTTAAAATACTGATCTAAATTTTTGAATACTGATATTTCTTGTTTACTAGATGTATAATATATGATAACATTATCATATGAAGGTAAATATGCTGAAGATACATTTTAGTTTCCTTGCACCTGTCATTCATGATTCGAGCGTATTCTCTTAGAATGGATGAGAACGTGTGTCTGACTTCAACCGGCTGAGAAGATATACAATGGAATGATGATTAACTACATCGCATGTCATATACTGTTAAATTACAAGCATGTGAAAACAACCGACAACTTTCTTACATAATTCTGTGAAAATTCGCTTCTTCAGTTTTTTTTATCTTTGCGACCTCGTCAACCATTTATTTTTATCAGCGTTATTTATGCATTGACAGCTTGCTTAATATCTTGATATCAATCAGTTTATTTTACGTTTAATTTAGCTTATGGAATCTTAGCCATCATCTTACGGTCCAAACCTAACCAGAATATAAATATCCCGGTAAAAATTTTTCATGATGAAATATGTATAAACATACATAAATATTCACAAACATTCATAATTTTATATGAAATATGTTCATATATATTCATACATCCTTCTTTCTTTTGTAAAATTACTTTTTAGTGTAATAGAAATAACAATAGTAATGTAACAATGTTAAAAATAATGAAAAGGGTAATTTTCACACTATTTATTTTAGAAAAACTCAAGTTTGAAGAAATGTAAAAAAATTACTTACGTATAATTATATATAAAATTATGCATAATTGTGTATGAGCAATTTTTTAAATATTTTTCCAAATTTGTTTTCTTTTTAAACGAACAATGCTAAAATTATCCCTTTAATTATTTTTTATGTTTTCACATAACTATTGTTATTTTTATTACACTAAAGAGTAGTTTTACAAAAGAAAGAAGGATGTATGAATATGTATGGATATATTTCATATATAATTATACGTGTGATGTGTGTGTGTGTGTGTGTATGTTACGAATTAATATTCTACTTACTTGAATTGATAAAAAATTTAAAATCTGCTCTTACCATTGTAATCGAGAATTGCTCTATTATCTTTAAAATAAATTATCTTTTTTACTGTATTGTACACAGAACCCAACCTTGAAACACTTTGCTATAAAAAATAGCTCTATAAATTACGTTTTATAACAATTTTCTTAAACATTGAGCAACCGTTACTGTGTTATTTCGAAACTCGTTTACGTTGAAGATAATTGCATCAATTTTCACAGAGAAGCAACGAGAAATCTGCGAGATCGTTCGACGTGGAAACACATGGTACATGAATAGACAATTCGTTGTGCCACATGTTTATTGATATCTCTTTCTCTTCCATCAACCTCAGCTAAGAGGGCTATCTTACACACTGCTATTAAATATATAAGGAAAGAAAGCATATACGTACTTTTTAATATAAATTTCCCTGAGTGAGTTTTGTACTTTGATAATACAACGTATTTTAGTAAAGACGCGATAATATTATTGTATCGCTCATATTGTCTATTAATATTTACACCGTCTTATCGTTAATGAGTATTTCCCTCGTTCCAACTTTCATTAATACTGCTTAGATACACACTACTTACGTAGAGATGGAAAATCGTTTCAATCTCGATTGAGAGAGATCTGAATTTTCCTATAAGAAATGTTTTGCGATGTCGACGATTAATATTGTTTCTTTTTCTTATTAATACAGTTAATTTAAAATAAATTAACTATGTATGTATAATATAATATATATTAACGGGATTTGGAAATTTACGAAGGATCTTCGCTGAACCTCCGAATAGTATGGGGAAATTAATTATATCAATTGATATAAGGTATCGAAATTGTACATAGTCGATGATTCATTTTTTAAGATACTGTGTTTGCAGTTCATTATGTTTCGTCACTACGAATATAAAAAGTTTAACAATAAAGTAAGACTATAATATCATATACTATTGGCTCTTTTTGTTCACATATTGTGTCTCTTAAAAATACCGATTTCTGTGGAGAGTTAGTTTCACCTATATTAGTTTAACCAATCTCTTTTGCTTCTTTCTTTTTTCTTAACATTTATAGCAAATACAGAAAAAATAAATTTTAAATATAATAACGTTTAATAACGTTAACCCTCCGCGAACCAGGTAGAAAATCAACATATGTGGGTATATCTCACACCCTATACTATACTTCATCATAAATATAACTATAATTCAGTACAATTGGTAACAACGCATTCTCCAGTTGCATGAAACTGGCAACATGCGCGCGGTTCTTTTTAAGAAGTTATAGAAATTTATTTTGCTACAGTATGTCACACCCCACCTGGTTCACGGAGGGTTAAATATAATAACGTTCAATAATGTTGGTGAAACTAACCCTGAGACATACATAAATAAATATAACGTACAGTTACGCCGCTGTTGTAATGTTGAAATTACAAACAAAGCATTTAGGTAATGTATATCCTCGAATACTTTCATCTGGTTTTTTGACTAAAAGATAATACAATTTCTTTATATTCGAGACATGCAGTTTTCTTTGCAGTAACATGCAGTACAATTTTACATTACTTTTAGAATTAATTAATTAATTATAAATTGCGATCTTATTATTCTTAATTTATTTTTATTGTAAATGTTAATTAATTAATATTTTTCTAAAACAAGATTTCTGTTTTTGTAGAAAATTTAACGATAATTAGCAAATGAATATTTTTTTCTTAATCCACAATGATCGTTTCAGTTAGATCCTACAATCGACTAGTCTCATTACTTAACAATCCATGTTCTATTTATAGGGTATTAAAGCAAGTATCTATAATTCGCTAATTGTAACGAATCCTTCAATATAAAAAAATCACGAGTACTAATCGAGACTATGGAGTATTTTGTTTATCTGCATCGCTGCTGCAAGATCTGCATATAATTGCGGAAGGGATCATGTATTTTTATTTACATTTTCGTTTTACGTTATATAAATTACTGTACCGTACATTGTTGTACAATGTTGTACTTCAATTCATTTTCACACAGCACTTTGTACGAGACCGTCGGGAAACGTCTTTAGGTCGTAGAACATTCTCTGAATGTCTTTAGATCGTTCCTTGAAGGTCTATACTACAGAGGCGTGCAAAGAGAGTTAGCCGCCAGCATAAAAATAATTTTGCCGTCTCAAAAATGTCTATATATAATATTATTTGTATATAGAAATCGACTAAAAGACGAGAAGACGAGGAAGTGTGCTATATATAAATCGTGCTTTATCTTTTTCTAATTCTAAGTAGAAAAAGATATAGATAAATCTTAGATACAATTGAAAACCACAGACAACAAAACAATAACAGATTCCAACTCATCAGAAACGTTCTTATTGCCTATATTTTTCAATTGTGTCTAATAGCAAGTTCGATTGGATGCATTAGTTCGCATTGGTGCATATTAAAGTTGTCATATTGATCTAAATGTAAAAGCGAAATGTAAATAATAAATAAAATTCGAATTATGAAATATCTACTCAAGAAAAATGTTATATATATGGACATATATATTTGATATATAATTTTATATATTAAATATATTCATTTTATATATTAAATATATATTAAATATATTCATTTTTATATAATTATATGTAATTGTATATAATTTTATATACCTACATATAATTATACATGAAATATTTTTTCCCGGGTACATATTTTATCAACACAATAAATACAATAAAGTTGAAGATTTTATCTGATTTTATATTTACAAGTATAAACACACATTTTTTTACGTTACTTTATATACATATAATGGCTTTACTATATATTGAGTACTCACTTGCGTCCAACCAAATTCACTATAAAACTTTATAAATTAAATCGAAAACGAAGTTTTCTGTATTGATAGAAATGAACAATAGAGAAAGACAATTTTAATGAGGACGCTGTCAACATTCAGAAAGTTGCAATTTTGTTTCATTTATAATATGTTCAAGTACAGTTCAAAGAATCTCGGCTTCAGTCACTTCTGGCTTTATTGGCTGCCTGCATATGTACAAACATTGCATACCCCTGTTGTGCTATATGTATTATTATGAATTGAAAGGGTAAAAGCTATAATAGTGTATGTCACTTTTTTAGTCTACTGAAGCAAATATGTTGAAAGAAAAAGTAAAATAAATATAAAATTGATAACAATAACTCTCGAAAATATCAACAAATAAAGAACAAAGAAGAGCTAAAGAGAGTAAAATAAGTCATAATCCAATATTAACATTCGATTCATTCTTCTTACGGATTTTTAACTATGGATAGATCAAGTCTAATGAAACCTTTTGTTTCTTAAAATCATAATTAAGTGACTTATATCACTATGGCTTTCACTCTTTCTATTAAAGTTCAAATCCATGTGAATTTATTAAACGCACAAATAAAGCACAAGTCAAACAAGACAAACTCAAAGGACTTGCGCTGTTTGACTGATTACTATTAACAATCATTGGTGTGCGCAACCTATGTTATACCTTATTAGCTATCTATTGATATATCACACATAAATTATTATCGTCACGTTAAAATGGCTAATGTCGGTGTATGAGACACGGCCGACATCTATACGAGCATACAGAATTTTGAAGTGCGCGAATTTCACTATCCACGCAAGGAAATACCGTAGGTGTCATGGTCCATTTAAACTTGCGCGCGTACGCGTTTAGGAGATATAAATTAAGAATAATTTGTACAGAGTGTCTGAAGCGCGTAATTTAATTTAATTGCTGAACGACTTGACGATCGACGTCACGCTCTCATACGTTCCAGTGATGAAACCCAACACGCCGATTAGTATTATGATCATGTCCTTTGTGATTGTGAAGAAACCGAAACTGGCGTTGTGCCAACAGACGATCATCTCGATCATCGGTGGAAACACGAGAGCCAGGGCGGTGCTACTAACAGCTCCGACCAGCGATATGAAGAGACCCAATTTTGGTACTGCCTCTGCCAAAATAACTGGACAAAAATTTTAGATCATAATGTACATAAACAAGCTGCAAAGTATTTAATTCTCCCATCCCAAATAATATTAATAAATTTATAACTTTAGACACAACTCTGGATAAACGTCAAAACTTTTTATATATTCTGTGCATTTATATTTACAACAAAATACCTTTTAAAAAAGATATAAAATTACAATTTGAAAGACAAGTTTGATAAAAAAGTATTATATGTTATAAGTTTGTGATTTATAAATAATCTAGTTTTTTTAATACAACACTTTAGTTTGTACTTACAGGTAACAAGACACATGGTGGAACGAAATAAGATCTCGGTGAACACTGGCCATCTAAATGGACCAAATCTGTCAACGATGCCAGGCCATATTATTGCAATCGGGACATAAAACTGCAACGCGTAGGTAAGTAATATGCTCAAAGAGATGGCAATCTTGATGCATTGCGGCAAACTGTACAGAAAATCAGTTTGTTAGTCGAGGAAAGATGGCCTGTTATATCTTACTTAATAAATAAAAATTAAAAAACTGAAATACGATTCAAGGTTTATGATTAATAATTAAAACATGCACAAAGCGCACACATTATTTGTGTTAAGTTCTCGCGAAATCATGAAGCTATTTTGGCTAATATTTATCATTGAACACAGCAAATGTTTAGGTATAAACCTTAATTGATTGATGACTTTTCCGTCCACCCTTTGAATACAGAAAAAAAAATGTTATAATATGTAGTCGGTCAACGATTAAACTGACACAAGATAAGTCACAAAGAATAATCACACGAAACATAATTAGCTCACTTACATTTCCTGTGGTGCAAGATTGAGTGTGACCGAACCGGCGACATCATCACCATATTTCAAATAAGACAGGAAACCCATTGTGACGAACATAACGCCGACTATCACCATACCGACATTAAGAACACCAAATACTTTATTAAAATTGCTAGGTTTCTTCATTTCATTCATTAATGGCAGTACCTGTACATTGTCAGAACATAGAAAGTACGTTATCAACATAGAAAATATGTTACAATTCTCTTACAATTGGCGGGAAAGACGGTTTTACTGAAATATTTAAGAGTACAGCCATATATAGTTCTAAAAATAATTTTATTAGAGTACCAAAATAATTGTATACGTAGCACGTTCAAATTAGTTGCTAGAATATGTTAAAACTTTTTGCAATATTGCTCATCGCACTTGAGTTTTCTACATATAATTACATATTTTGATGACCCAACAATATCAATTTTCAGATCTGTATTTAGCTAAATTTTAAGATACTTCAGCAAAATCATTTTTTCTTCTTACTCTTATCTGCGAGCTACATTAACAAAAGGTATTTTACTCACTAAAGTAATACCCTCGAAAGAATATATCACAGTGCCGAAGAACAGAGGTAGATTGTTCCAATCCGCGACGAATTTTCTCTCGTGAATGGATGGCACATCGTAGCTCATGATGTATACGGTGGCGATGTAACCAGCGATCATTAGGAAATTCGCTATCGAGCTCACAGGTACCAGATACTTGAGATTTCTGATCCAAGTACTAAGCATTATGGGAATCAATACTACGGCCATATGCTCATGAACGTCCATCTCAATTCCGTGCGCGTCCAGTACCTATCACGCAAAGTAAAGCAGATTGTAATATTTATTTAAAAAATCTTTATTTACTGCTAAATATAAAGACTAGATTAAAAATACAATTTTCTGGGTTTCCTAATAAATTATTACTTAATGTATACGGTAAAGATAATGTTATCTGCGTAAGCAATTCTTGGGCAATTTCATATTTTTGCGACAGAAAAGAACGGACATATAACGAATGAAACATTAAAATTAAGAAGAGTTAAGGTGGAATCAATGGAAGGTGCCTTACCTGTTTCATGTTTGTGGAAATAAAAACGAAATAAACGCAGCAGAATCCGAATTGCGTGACACACAAAAATACATTAACCAACTTTCTGCAACAAAATTACGAGAGAGCAACATAAACAACATGCGCTTTTGACAAAGACTAATAAAAAATTATAGAAAATAATTAAATTAAAAAATTGTGTTATATATAAAAGAGTGCGTAAAGAGTAAACTGAAAAGAAGGCGCAAGTAGCATCCAGATGAAAAATCCAGATGAAAAAATCTGAAAAGTACGTATAAGTAGAAATAAAAACGTGATTTGCGTGAGCTTGTATTTCTTGTTATTTTGCTTTCTAGGAGTCGATTATATGTAAACTTAAAACAAGGTAAACATTACAAAAATGAGTAAATTTACTAGAATATTTATAATTTCATTGGTCAACACACCTAGTGAATTTTGCTCACTTTTATAATTTTTATCTCGTTTCAAGATACGCAATTGATCCCTTGGCTTCACTATTTTGTCTATCACGCACCTCATAAAAGTCGAATATTTACGAAATCTAATGGGACCAGTAGCAAAGCACATTTCCACAGTTCCGGCGAATCCAGTTGTGTTAGTATCATGACCAACACGACGCGTCACCTCTTTATTGCATTTAATCTGCAAGAAATATTAAGTGTCATAAATATCAAGAGTATACCTTTGTAAACTCATAAGTATTTATAAAAGATATTATTAATTTGTTATATTTAACTGTTTTTTTCTTCTATAATAGAGTTATTATTTCCCATTTTGCTTATATAATTAATTATTATTATTATTATTAATTAATCGTACGAGAACGTGTTGAGCGTGCACGCAAATGATACCAAGAAAGATCGTTAGCGGTGGTGCCAACAACAATCCAGCGTTCTTGAAAGCATCTCCCAACGCAAAGATCCCCGAACCGACGTTACCCCTGAATAGATGCATCATCGTTTCCAGGTACCTGCAGTTATCCAATTTCACTTTGTTAGTGCATTTGATTTATTCTCAACTTTATGCAATGTATCGAATGTAGCGAAATTTCAATCGTTATAAAGATTATGGCTATACATCACAAAAAGTGAGTATATGAATATTTAATATATATTCTAAAATATACTAAGAAAGAAATATATAAGGCACAGATTTCGGAAATCTTTGAATTTTACTAGTCATCAACTTCGTTCACTTAATTTGTTAAATTCATCTTTTTATATTACTTAATTATATGAATCAATTTCAGCATATAATTATCTTTCGGTTTAAATATCAAAATAAATATTAAAAAATAATTAACTTTCCAAAAATATAACGATTGTAATTCGTGATTAATTAATTAATAAATTCTCATAATTTATCAATATTTTTCATAAATGTGTTAATAAATATGAACAATTCTACTATCTGTAATTATATACGTATAATTATGAAATAATCGTACGTATATAATTTTTAAGTTTCTTGTTAAAGAAATTATAATTTTAAAATATAATTAAAATTTATTTTTAGATATAATTCAAATAAATATCAATAAATTTAAAAAAATTACATTTTAGAACACAAAAGCTTGACAATTCGCGATCCTTAATAACAATAAGACGATAAATTACAAGCTAGATCCTATTATTGATGTGAATTGATGCACATTTATGTGTATCATTTATGCCAAAAATGTTTATTTTGGACGTGTGTCTCGACTGTCAATTCACTGAGGTATGGTTAAAAGATGAATTTTCTCTTGCGATTCGACCATACCAATGCATCTGCAAACGTATTTTGCACAGTTGAGAATGCTAGAAAATTAACAAGTCAATGTCAAAACAAAGTCACATTCCAACAAAACGTGATTCTTCCCGGAAAAAAGTGATTACCATTCGCACGGAAGTACAGGTATTTTATCGGGCTATCGTAAACGAGTAACGAGATAATAAAATACTCGCTTCCGTCTTTTCAAATCACATACTTTGCAATCACGTGTCATTTTTTTTTGCCGTATCTAATCATGTTGCAATGTTTGTTTGATTCTCTAGATACGTTTATTGTTAAGATGTGTAATACCATTTTCATCGCTCGTGTATGACATACACTAAATGATCTTCTGCTTTTGTTAACGCGATCTTTATCAATATCTAACACGCTTTGCTATGAATCTATCTGTGTGGTTGGTAAATGATGTTATGTTAACGTGAATCAAACTTACGAGGTGGGATGGTTCACAGAGATACCATGCTCATTAGTTCCATTTTTTGTGGTATCGCTGCTCTTCTCTATCGCTAGAATGGGATCCTTCGATTGGAATGCTCCATAAGTTCCACTATTACTGTAATAAAACAAGAATATGTAAAAATTGGAGATTATATACGTTATATAATAAATTGTTAATTATCACGAATGATAAACCTATTTTTAAGTTCTAAAAAAATTCTATTTAATTGTCAAGGAATTAGTTGCAATTATATTAATTGTCGCTATCCAAACAGCACAAAATACTAAAAAAGAACGAAAAGAGGTCTTTTTAAAGTTGTCTTTCCAATAAAGAGAAAAGATGTCTAAAAAATGACGAAAAGATATCGTTTTTAGATTGTCTTTTCAGCAAGACGAAAAGATGTCTATATAAGACATCTTTTAGTTTCATTGAAAAGACAACTTAAAAAAGACACCTTTTCGTCATCTTCCTATGATTGTCATTTTCGCAAAGCAAAAAGTTACCTGAAAGATATCTTTTCGTATTGCTAAAAAGACAACATGAAAAAGATATCTTTCCGTTATTTTGATACTTTTTATCATTCATTCGCGAGTAGTATGCGGGATTGTCACCAGACAGACGTGGTGAAGTTCAGTTTCTCGTGTTTGAAAACCATACAGGATAGAATAAAAGATGCAGTATTATGAGAAATTTTATTCGTGTTCTTGTGAACACTAATAAATTATTTTTCATAATTGAGTCCCCAAAGAGGATTTATGATCAAAGATAATGACTCTTGCGCACCGACAAACATTGCAAAACCTAGAAATGGGATGTATGTATTGTCAGTCATGCAATTTCATTTCGCTTTGTGTAAAAATTAATTTAGGAATTCGATGTTATTAAACGTTATATATGCCAAAATATAAAAACTAAACACTGTCTTAAAGACGATCAAAAGATATTCAAAGAAGTCATCCTTTAGTTATCATATGGATAAGATTGTAAGATGACTAGCAGTGCGACATCTATCGTCTTTTAGTCATTGTTTCGTCGACTGTCTTCTTTTACCATAAAAGATATCTTTATAACATTAGGTCTGTTTGCGCTGCAAACATGCACTTTTGGCACTCGACATCTTCGCTTTCTCTCTTTTTAAAGCAAAATATGTATCTATCTCATTTTAAGTGCAAAAATATTTGGGAATTTCATGCAACACGAACAGACCTAATTTAGTCATCTTTTAATCACTTTTTAGACGACTTTGTGCTCTTTGGATATGTACATCCATAACCTTGATATTTCACGGGATTTTTCTTAGACAATGGTATTAATTACCGGATATGTATGATGAATATACTGTAATTTTTAAGCGTGGTGATTAAGTGTTCACGACTAACTTGAGAGTGACACAGATAGAAAAATATATAGTTGAAAAATATTTTCTTAACGAGTTCAATAGACATGATCATGCCAATAGAACAATACGACATTCTTGGCAAAGATTTGATATCTGAAATAGCATGTTTATACACGGAGAAAATTTTATATTAAGTTTTAATATAATTTTAAATTACACTTTACTATGTCTTGAATTTTCGTATGGACCCTCACAACATAATTCTGACTTAACTTTTACTATGGTAATACTAATTTTTATCACATAAATAAAGTAATTATTTTGTTAAGCCATATTCTAACATGGAAACAGTTAATTTTTATTATGGTACGCAAACAAAATTTGCTAGGTACATATTTTTTACTTATCTTTACAATACTAACTTTTATTCAACAAGATTTTATTTTGTAATAAAAAATTTTACTATAAAATTTACTATAAAAAAGTGTAAAAATTTCGTTGTATTATTGTTTTAAAAAAAATAATTATAGCATTTAAACTTATAATTTACATGAGGACCGCAGCTGTTACCACATTATAGTAATTTTAAATATAAAATTTTCTCCGTGTAGATTTGTGAGGCAGAGGTTTGTCTCGACGTTTATTAATTGTTTCCGTATTGTTATTCTTTCAATGTGTCTTACTTCCATGCTATAATTATGATACTTTTTATCGCTATTAGGAAGCATACAAATATTAATAAAAAGCAAATTAGATAAAAGAAATAATCATGATAGTACTATAAGAGATACTGATAACAATTGATTATCCATGTTCAATAGTTATAGCATAAAAACAAAATTTTTTAATCCGCTTATCACAAGTCGCATAACACCAAATCATCATAATATCATTTAATGACCGTCCATGTAATTATGCAACTCAGCAAGTGATTAAGTTAGATCGAACGAAGTAATTAAATCACATTCCTCATGTGGCACGTATAATCAGAATTAGCTACAGTGTCACACATTTGCGATTGCACTTCATCTTCAATCTTCATGCAATTACTATCCGTCACAGCGGTTCATATAATTACTGTTCGTCACAGCGTCTTATAATAATCAACTTTTCGATTATTAGATAACAAACGTTTCTCCTTGAATGAAGCTCATTAATGTATAAACATCTTCAGTAGAATGAACTTATGATTAAATGACTACTATTAAATATTAAGATCAAAACAATATTAATAGATTATATATTAGTAAGAATAGAGAGACAGAAAAGAGAAAGAAAGAGAAAGAAGCTCTCTTAATAGAGTTTCTACACTCTCGATTGTTTACATTAAGATGAACTTACCCAAGTGGCTGCTTAAAAGTTGTTTCATCGCCGTGAACAGAGTTCTTCTTCGACGAGATCACGGAAATCGGACTGTTGTTCATTTCCATCTGTAAGATAATTAGAGGTATAAAACAGTGAAAATACATTTTCGAATGTGTGTGTTCAAAAAACATATACAGTATAATGTATGTATAACATCCTATTATGTATGTACATATTATTTTGTATAATATACAATTCATAATATATTATATATTATATATATATATTAAATGTTTATACATATAGAATAATGTATATCTAAAGAAATATTAAAATATATGTATACATATAGCAGTGTGCACCTCGAGGATTTATTCTCGCGCGCGATTCTATTTGCAAGTCCGAAACTCCGAATTCGCACTTTTCTTAACAAATACGTCAGAAATACGTCAAAAGTTTTTGTTCAACCGTCTAGACGTATTACGACAACATGATGAATGAAACGCGTATATGCGATCAATCAGGCGCCAAATATTTGAACTGTCATCGGCATCAAGTGTTGGCTCGAGTATGTATTTTTACTCGAGTTACATTCTTTTGCCGTGTATTGTTTTTTTTTCTCACTGAAAACTTGACTGCGATAAATTGAGACAGATCAAAGGTGATTTCTTCGGTATTATTCCGTTATTAACAACATATTGATCAATTAAACGCGCTTTGCACGACTCCATATATATTGATTGGCTTTTTAATTAATCCGTATAGCGTGCAAAGCATTTAATACTACGTCAGAGATCAATACAACATTGAAAGATTGAGAAAAAAGAAAAAGAGGAAAAACGCTCATTTGCGAACACGTGTGAGAAACGTGATAAGTCTAGCTTACTAATAGTTGTGACTATATATATGCTATGTTATATAAATCGTTACAGTCGTTAACTTTTTTTAAACAATAAAAATATTTAATTTTTTTTCTTCACTTAATCGCTTAATAACGTAGTCGATACATCAGATATAAATAAATTGATCAATCTCATAAGCAAAGTATTTACTTTGAACGTTGCTCTTTAATCACAATGTTTGCTCGTAAATCACATACACAGCTAAGAACAAATAATTTAGTCTGTCTGTAATATATTCTTCTGTTGATTTGTCTCTGACGAGATTAAATAAATATACATCTTCCAGTAAACATTGAAAAAGTAATATTTCACACTTAACAGTATAAATATAATATAATATGTAACATATGTTGTATGTAACAATTACATTGAATTGAGTGTAAAATTATAACAGTGATTGATGTTATGTTTAATCAGTTTACCAAGTTCATTGTTGTTTGCAATGAATCATTGCTCTACAAATTTGGTGCTAATTTTCCACTTTCCTTTATCTGGTAAATGTAATGGAATTTAAAAATAGAATTTCTGAGAAAGATAAAAGATTTATCGGTGCTATCTATAAGTTTTTGTTACGTAATAAATGCGAAGAACGGATGACGTGTCTTCAATGAAGAGAACTTTGTAACTTGAAAAATATAATCACTATCAAGTGGCATTTCTTTAGACGAAATAAAAAGGGATGACCTTATATATTAATTATCATGTAAAACACGCTCGTAATCATTTCCTGTGCCATTTACCTTTAATAACATAAACGATCTTAATCGAGATATCCTTCAGGTTACAACCCGAGAAGCTATTATATACTTAATGTAGTAAACCCAACGTATAGTAAATCCGACGCCACATAGAAGCGCCGAATTGTCATCCGGCGCAAGTGGAACAACACGAGATATTTACAGCGTGTTGCCAGTGTAAGACGATAGCCTAGCACGATATATCTTTATATGCATAATAATCTAAAACTGTAACTTTGCAAAAATACCACACCATCAATGATAATGTAGACAAACAATGGATAATTACAACGTAATTATGCGATTATTTTACGCAACTTCGCGCATGACATCGACAGTATGCCAATGTAGAAGAATAGATAACGCCAAAATAGATAAACGCGTACAGAGAAATGTAAACATTGCCAATACTTTTTGCAGCTTGCACAACAGAAAAAAAACATTTGTGCCCGTTTCTGATAATATTCCGTATCTCTAAGCTCGGAAAAAACTCGGAAATAATGGAAAACAATGATTATCGTAATTATCTGCTAAAAATATCTAGCTGTATATATCTCTTCATATTTTTCTGGTTCTAAATGTTAAAAAAAGATGAAAAGTAAAATGAACCGAGATTAATATTAATTTACATAGAAACGTGCATTAGTCATAATAGAATGATGTTTTTCATTGTTCCCAAGTTTAGAGATATGGAATATTATAGTCAGAAAGAAATTCAAATTCCAGGGAGGTGTAAATACAGACAATTAAGTTAATGCAGACGCGAATTTACGCTACAAATATTTGATTTGAACGCAGCAAAGATAAAATATGATCGCGTGTGCAAGGTCGCATCTTTGTGTTATTCATGTTTCTATTGTTTTATTTATTTATATTTAATACATAAGGACTACATGTTTTATACAAGTATGCGATAAATGCATATCTATTTCTCTATTTACACATCACGTTTTTTTATTTTATATTTTCCCTCAAAATATAATGTACACTAAGAAAAAAAAGTTGCTGTTTCAAGAAAATATTAGTTGATTCAACTAAATGTAACGGTCACGGACTGTCAAGAAAATATTTGTTAATTCAATGAAATATTTGTTAATTCAAATGAATAATATGTTTTAAATTCCAAGATTTTGTTAATCTAAATATATAAATATTTGAACTAAATAATCATTACGAACTAAACGCATTTAGTCAAGTTAATAACTTTTTTTTCTCAGTGTACCGTATTGAATCATTGATATTGTATTTCGCACATTCGTAATAAATACATGATTCATTGGAATGATATGTAATTTATCACTGAGCGATTGCAGCGCACGGACAAATGGACTCTACGATTTAGGAACAAGGGCAATATGATATCTCCGAAAGATAATAATCCGTTTAATCTCATAGATATATTACGTACTTGAGCGTTATTAGCAATAAAAATCTGATTTTAGTTAATTAACTAGTTATTAGATTATTACTGTTAATTTGATTGCTGTTAATTTGTCGCTTTTCTAAACACTACTTTCGTTTGATTAAGCGCATATATGAAAATAAACGCAAGTGTATTGAGCAAAATTGTGCTCACATTAAGTAAATAAGTAGTCACAGTACTCATAATTATCTTAAAAACCTGTTCTGAAAAAGAAAATAAAAAATATTGTGTAAAAATCTTAAAATTCATTATTTTTACTTTTCTGTATCTCATAAAAATATAAGTAATATAAATTTTATTCTATATACATACACACTATTAAAAAACTATAACTATAAAAATAGAATTTTTATCTTATCTACTTCTTCAAAGATTAAAATTTATAATAACTTTTATAATAAACATTGAGAACTTAAACACGATTAACACTCCGTCTACAATTTGGATCTTTTTTAGCACGAATAAAATTTTATTCTCAAATGTCTTCAAAATAAAGAAGAGGGGCGTTCCCCCTTTATTTTGATAAAATATCTTGTATATCTATTTGATAATGTAATAGAAACATTGGAAAGTTACTGGAACTTTTCCATATATTTTTAAAGTATCTTTAAAACCGTAAAAAAAGTGAGCTGGATGAAAAAGATGTAGATTGCCGATGGAGGGAGTAAAAATATAATTGCAGAATGAGTTAATTATATACGTTGAGATAAGCTCACGTTATGACTTCTCCAAATCTTTTTAATTAAAATTTGATTAGATAAGTTCGATTCGAGATTTTCACAAATATTCAGATAATCAATCAAAATTTAAATCAGTTACGAAGGTACATGTTAAGTAAACTAGATAAATATGTTTTATCCAGAGATATGTTGTGCGACAAAAAAACAAAACGATGATATTAAATCAGTGATACAAACACGTCTTTATTATCTATAATGATACAGGAATAAAAGGAGATGATATGTCATTCGTCGAAAATTTGTATTCTACCTTTTCATTGTAAGCTAATCACACGACCGTATGGCAAATACTAACAACGTATACTTATCCAGTTAGTCAACTTAATGTAATCACTGCTGTCGTATTTGTCAGAAGGCTTTTTTCAACGAGCCCCACAAGATTGCGTTTCAATCGAAGGGAGGTAGAATAGCGTTGTGAGAGTATTAATCAAATATTTTTATATTTCTCATAATCCACGCGACGAGAGGTAATTAAATTCGGAATCACCCGCGGTATTATTAGATTCACGTTAATCGTAGATGGGTCAATCACAATCACGTTCGCAATTTCACGATCCCACGATATACGGCACGAGCAACCATTGAAGTTTGGTAGACCTAAATCACTGTCTCACGTGTCTCACTCGAGGAAACTGCAGCTTGATCTACTCTGACCGACGCGAATTCACTTTTTGGCAATGTTACCGCTGCCGGCGACGATATTACCGAAATAGAAGCGTTCACCAGCGCTCTTTTGGTTCTCGATCACGTGCACCTTTTATCGAACACGAGCCGCGGTTGCATCGAAATGCAATAAATGTCCTATCTTGGAAAAAATTTTTTAAAGAAAAGCTCATAGATTGATTTTTACCTTCCGAATGATATCGGCGATTACAAGATTTTATCGGATGTCGCTATATAAATTATGATTATGACATTTGAGTCGCGATTAAGATGCGATCTGTTTAAACTGTCAAGTGTGATTAGATTATTATTTAGCACGGCTGATAAAGACATTGCGCGTGGAATTAATGCGTCGATCTTTCGGAGAATCTTTAAGAATGAAACAGTTTTCGGAAGATAAACATCTCTAAAATTAAATTGAAGTGCCCCCGATAACTTAGAAGAATAGAGATGACTTAAGACGAGAAGCTTACAGGAAGTAATTATCTTTAATCCTCCAGAGCTGACGGTGAGTCTATTAGGCTCACTCAATTATATTCTTTATGTCTGCACATTTGAATTATTATGTTATTAAAACAAACTTAGTATCCATTCTTTTTGATACCAGTTGTCATTTTGATTCCTTAAAATTAATTAGTGCCTTTCAATCAACATCAATTGAATGGGTCTTACAGATAACAACAATAACCATATTACAGATTTTGATGATTTCTGCTCTGAAGACTTAGTTATCTTTATATAAACATATGTCTCGAATATTGAAGGATAAGTATTCATTTCAGTTTTAATATCTAATATTTCAGAGATATGGCGTGAGTCTGAAACGCGGTATATGTATTATGTATGTATACATATATATATACATATATGTACATAAATGTATGTAGTTATCGCTCTCGGCAATTCGCGAGCAAGCAACAATATGAAACCACAATCACAACGGAATGTCATCATACGATAAGCCGACATCATTTTGCGATAATTCACGTATAACAAGTTCCTTGTCTATCATTATGAAAAATTCGATCGCAATGCAAGAAATAAAGCGTACTTTCACTTGCACTTCCCTAGTAGTTAAAGTAGGTGAAGGTATCGTTCATTTAATTTATGTAACATGGATAATACATAATAGTGAAATCATGACAAATTACACACAAAAACAGAAAATATTTAAATTTCGATTCAGTAAAAATTGTTTCCGCTATTCTTGATTTTCATTACTTCCTGCAAATTTTTTGATGCATAACTGCAATTCATTGCAATCGCTGATTTAAATTGTTGTACTTGATATCCTTGAAGTATGTTACCGGGATAAATTTTTTTTTTTCTACTATTAACATTTACGAAGGTGCAGTGAAGCATATTACATGATGCAATATATAATTGCATCATGTGATGTGCACATGATATATCCTAGAACATGTAGGTGCAACTTTTAAAAGACATTCGATAATACAAATTGCTATCACGTGAATTTTCATTTCACCTTGCTACACATTTATATAAACGAGTCTCGCAGAAGCAAACTATTTAACTTCGTGAAACAAAGAGTAGAGACCTGGGAAAAAAGCTATATATATAGACATATTTTATATATAAGTATATGTAATTGTATATAAAATATATCAATTTTATATATATAACTACATATAATTTTATATATAAAACATTTTTTCCCGGGGATTTATGAAGTGCATGTGCCGGTATTTAAAATTATATAGGAAATACACTGAAAGTGCGATTGATCAATTTGGCTTCTGAGAAATTCGCATCTTTATTTATACATGAAACATATTGCCACATCACGTTGCGTTTTATATTGATCAAATCGTATCTATATTTCGGCGCTAAGCCTAGTGCGTCATCAACGTCATTAAATGCAATTTCGGCACTTATAAGAAAACTGATGTACATGCGCTCGACAGTCTTGATGTAGCAAAAACAATGCGATGTTCGTGAAAAAAGATAAACGAATGTATATGCAGTTAAAGCTAACTGCCTGAGTAAAATTTATCTCAGAACAACATGATGAATACTGTCGCATGTCGATAACATAAATGTTCAAAGATGTTACGAAGACATTTCTAGACGATGATCGAAATGACAATATCCATGACTGAAATAATTTTTACTACTTGGCTGTTAAAAAGAAAATTTGAATATAAATCGATAATATTAAGAATTGAGCAAAACAAGGTAAAAAAAAGTAAGTGAATGTAAGTGACACCCATTCATAATAACTCAGGGAGAACAATAAATCATGATAACACAATGAGATTAAAATAAATCGGAAATTATTAAAAAATGACTTTTAATGATCATTTTAGAATCATTTTGACATCATTTTGATATTACAATGACTTGTTGTTCTGTTTGGGAAAATTCATAATTCTGACAAAGTAAATAAACACAAAACAAAGGTACCTAATCTTCAAAATAGAAGGAATCCTTACTGTTATATAATCCAATTTCACAAATTTTCAAGATAACACGTAATTCAAGTTTAATCTTTTATTACACTTTTATTACTTTTATATAATATATACACAGACGAAGAAGATAATTCAAGCTTTAAGCTTCTTTACACGTATACATTTATGTACAATATTTGTTATAGATGATCTAGCAAAAAGATCGAAAATTTTAAAAGCATGCAGTACTCACAATCAGAAGAATTGACAAAAAAATTTTTAGATCTGTAAATCACTTAATTCTACGCATTTATTTCAAATTGGATTTTTATTTTAATTTGTGCGAAAGATGTTCTGCAAGTGTGTCTATTTTTCAACTTCATACCTTGACAACAAGATAAAAATTACGTATACTTTTAAAAGTTTTTAGAAAAATAAGTTGCCTTTGTTTCCATAAGGACTATTATTAAAAAAGTTGTTAATAATTATGATATCGCTCCAATGTCAATGCAGCAATTTTTTTGCAACACATTATTGTTTGGTGTACTTTTACAGTTGCGCTAACTAATAAATTTAAAATTTTATGACATTGTGCACGTCGTATTTTTTACATCTGTCGAATCTTTACTGTTACATGTGTCGTATCTTTTATACGTGAGATTTCTCTGCTATGATAAAATATTTTTTAAATCAGTGAAAAATTTTGTTTTTTTAATCAGAATAGCAAATGAGCAATATTAGTCTAATTGTCATAAACAACAATAGGATAATTATAAACGCAGCTTCATATTAATTTATTTCTTCAATCAAGAATTTTGTTTGTTTTATTCGTGCGGTAATTAGTATACTTATTAAAATTTTATGTTTATCCATTTGCATTATTTAAATCTCAAAAATAAATTATTCTCATCAGTTCCAAGGAAGAGTGCGCGCGAGAAGAGATCATTCGCTATTCAAAATCGCGCGACAGTAAATAAAGTCTGTGGCACGCCAGGCGTTAGGAAAAGTCAACAACAGACCAATAAATCAAGTTGTCAAGAATTAAACATGTCAAAATCTAATAACAATTAGCATAAGTACGTACCTTTATTCGATTCGGCTGTTCGGTTTGATTATATCCAAATAATAAAAGAGCACGAATGCTGATAACCCATCGATGGTGCCGTCAATCGACACAACGTTCAACGATCGACTGCTTACACGCGACTGAAATGATGTCGGTCTGAAACCGTCGAGGAATACTCGGCGCAACAATCACTCGAAGGCTGTCTACGTCCTTCTGACTATTCGCTTGCTGCTGCTGGTGCCGAAATGCTGTGTCCCTTTATTCTTGGCATCGGACTTGTTGCAGTCCGAGGCAGAGACCGTGTCGGTTTCATCATTGAGTGCACGGACCGAAAATCTAATACCTCAATCCGGAGGAAGGCCATAACTTCACTTAGGAATGTACCGGATCTCATTTACTGATTGTGTGATTTAACGAGGTCGTTAACGAAACAATAAAATTTTTTTCCCACGAAAGAGAAAAGCAAAATCATAAGTAAAACTTGTCGTAACACAGCGATAAATTTAATGGCGAATAATTTAACGGCGATTTGATTATTTAGCGTATTTAGGAAATTGATTATTAGCAGATTGCTCGGAGTAATCACGAATGAAGGATGCTAAGAAAAGAAATTTAATAAATCGCAAGTTAAAAATGACCTTGGCGAGGCCAAAGAAAGATCATAATCGACCGAATTAACTGTCGTATGAAAGCGCATACGAGCGTCGCGCCGCATGTGATTGTGACCGCCTTACACTTTCTCGTGATTGCAATTAAAGATTAACAAGCCGAAATAACTTGCGTGAATATTGTCATTCATTTTGTTAGCATAAATGACTTCAATAGCGCGCGGCATCAACGTGCAAAGATTGATATATTATACCGGTCAATGCACTCGCTTTCGCACCAAAGGTCGAACTTCGCAGACAGACACTGTAAGACAATAAAAGCTAGAAAAGGAGAGGAATGTTTTCTAACTCGAAAGTTCGCACGTAATCGCGACATGGAGGGAATATTAAACTCAGCAGATGACGTGACATCGTATTTAATAATCTAAATATCAACTCCACTTCCTTAATAATGAAGGATACGCGTCGCGAGAGTTTAAAACAACAGTTTCGATAGAAATCCAACCTTGCTATTGACACGTGTCCTCGACTTCAGCACGAGGAAGGTTTCTTATCTTGGTTCCTTATTTGAAAGTAAAAGTGCATTTGAGACACTCAAGGCCTTCGCGCACATGCATATGCACAAACCGCAACTAAAACCGATGCGATCAGAAAAGCGATATAAGAGTCGTGGTAAAGGAACAAGATAAGAAGTGTATACGGTGGATGATAAATTGAAAAATTTACGCGCGTCAAATCTGTTACTTCAGCAAACGTCTCGACTCTAACGAAAACGAATGACTCGTAGTAGCTGTTTAGAAACAGAAACGAGGCCATACGTGTGATTTTATAGACGTAAGTTGACCTTAAACCATTGTGCAATGATGAATACGCACGCACCTATGTGCAAATGTATGCTCGAATACCGGAACAGAATTTTTTATTCCTATTTCATAATATATTTTGTTATCTTGAAAGCCATACAATGGCTGAAGAGAATAGAAATTAAATTACATTCCTTCATTTTCAATTTCATTAAAATGATCATTTGATTGAACAATCACTTTGATAAAATTGAATTGCCTTGTTCCTTAATTTCGCATAAAAATACATATTTCGGATAATTAAAGAGATGGTAATGCCTCTTTTATACATTGTTTCATCAAAAACTTGAAAAATATAAATTTGCATAAATCCATAATATTTTTATATTTCATTAATTAATGTTTTTTTATCAGAAAATTTATAAATATTCGAGTAATCCAGAAATTGAGAAAAACATTTCAATTAACTCAGCATTGTACTTCTTTCGCAAAAATATATATAAAGATCCGCATTTACAATTAGAATTAATCAAGAACAGATGGCTCTCTTTTTGGCGACTTATTCTCTTATATGTAAGCGCTTATTGCGTAAGTGCTGTTTCTCCTGCGTTGCGAAATCTGCGAATCTCTGGCGAAACACAGATATCGTCGGTTAATCGCAAAGTTTCGCGTTATTGCCATCATAAGCGATTTAATCAATTCAAGTAATATCCGTCGTGCGATTAGTAAATTTGCTTTAGGCTCCCCGTTTATCAGCTAACAGTTTCTCTATTGAGAAGAGTACAAAATATCGCTTCGCAATCGTAGATTTCACCTTGAAGGGCTGATACGTGAACTGTTCAATAAATAACATGATAGAAGAACGAGTAAATCTTCAACCAATACCTTCCCAACCAAAAATAACTCAGCAACTGAATTGACGGTCGTTTCTCGTTGGGTTTAGCTCTAAAAAGTACATATTTTTTTATTTTTCAAAAATATTCGAATTCTTAAAATTGTTTTTGATGGAGATATCAGATACATTTAATAATTTCATCTTATCGCTCAATCGCGTTATTGAAATCTAATGATAAGAAATAAAGATCGCTAAACAAATTAGCATGATTATGTCGAATATGATGATTTTGAAGACAAATATACTGATTAGATTGTGACGTGATGGAATTTTGTGCTATTTAATTGCGTTTATTGATCAATATTTTCCTCGAACTTTAAGAAATCTGTACGAGATAGCGATATTTCTGCTATGTTAATAGCGTAAAAGTTATATATGATCTGTGGCTATTTATCACATATTAATTAGAATGATCGGTCCAAGATAATTGATACTAACCGGTCCAGTCCCCGCGGCAAATTACAAGCGAGTGTAAAATTTTCCATTAGGATGACGCAGCACACTAAGAGAGGTCTTTGATAACTATAAGAATGTACTTATTCCAAACAAACTTTAAAAAGATCACCGTGCGTTTATGTTATTAATCCCGAGATAACACATTCGCTTCGCCTATGAAAAATTTCCACGCGCTTATTTGAAAGAAAAAATCGTTTTTCATGTTTATTTTTCGATTAAATTCCATACTGTTTATAAATACTATAAAATAATGCATAAAGTAAACAATTCAAAATTCATACTAACGACATCCTGCCATTGTCTTAAGTTTTTATGTTTTGCAATTAAAATTGCAGTTTGTCATAGGAAAGTTTCTAAATTGCGATTTGGAACGAAGCAGCGTTATATAATATAGGCAGATCGCGTTACTGGAAGGTAAATCTATTTTATATTTTGCACACACTATTTAGAGAATCAGTGCCAAGATACGTGGAAGAGGTATCCAAAATAGCAGACGCTTTCGGAGGCTGGTCAGTGACCGACCCATTTCGTAATTCCTAATAACATAAGAATTAAACATTAAATTAAACAAAGCCTCTATGTATAACAAATGCTCATAAATGTTCTCAAGAAAGAAAAAAAAATCTTTTAAAAATCGGTTTATATTCTAACAAAATATAAAATTTATAAAACATACAGAGTTCTCATTTATTTATTTAAATATTTCCCTCAGTCGCTACCCGTTATAATAGGCAAATTTTTTACTGTTTATAAAATATTTTAATCAAATAAAATCTGTAAAGATGATTATTATCTTTGTAAGTACACTCCGAATTTGTATACAAAATTAAGAAACAAAGTAATTATGTGATGTAATACAATTTCATAAAAATAATGTCCCATATCATTTCTGCGACAATTGATCAATTTCCAAAAAGCTTCGTTATTATCTTTTATAGTAACATTAATATTTATCTTGTCCTGATGTAATGCATAATTACTACAAGAGCATTAAGTATCATAAAAAATATAAATGGTCGACACTTTTAATGAAAACAAAAACGGGCGCGAGATACATGACGTTGATGATTAAAAGCGAACGTCACCAAATCAATGCGTCAAATCTGTGCCAAACATGAGAATGTATCGGTCCTAATTTATCATCAATTCCGACTTGCAAACCAAAACTTGCTCTGGCAGTCGTCCGTCTTGTTGCGTAAAGCTTAGAGACCTTGACCGACGCGCAGTAGTTTGTTTTAAATGCTTTTTCTGTAGCACCTCACGTCGCATATTTTTATCGGCTTTTTGAATCGAAATATCTACGTCAATAGTACTGTCGTGAGAACTTCTTTTTTGCAATAAAAACGTGCAATAGAAACAGTGCCATATACAACTGCGTATATAAATTTTTTTCATTAACATACATAGTTACACAGTGTTAGAAAAGCTGGCAATTAAGAAAATTGACAAAACAAATCAAGAAGTAAAATATATGTAACATCATATAACGTATAAGATAAATTATTTGGGCTTAAATTAGCTTAAAGGCGAATGCACTTGAGGATGAGGCGCCATTCACTCATTGGCAGCGAGTGCGACCACTGTAAAACGCACTTCATTAGGATCATGTTCCATGTATTCCTTGCATACGCGAGCGGCATCGTCGAGAAGTGTCTCTGGTGTAGTTGAACCGTGATTGATAGGGGCACATTTTCGACCGTCTGGGAAAACAAATGTTTTTTAGTGCAGGTTATAAATTTGGTAGATAATCATTCGTAGTACATTAAATTAGTATGCTGTTTTATATAAAGTATCTAAATGCAATGGCATAATATAATTAATAAAACAATACATGAATAATAAAATAATACATGTATATTCTGTTAAATAGCGTGATAATATCATTATTAGATATTTAAATAAAACAAAATTTAATCTTTAAAATACTTATGTTTTTAAATTTTTATTTAATTTCATTAATTTTACGTATAGCAGCTTTAATAAATATGCACTAATCTAGTAATGCAAATATAATCTAGTAATCCAAATTCGCTATTAATTTAACTGTGTTGTGAAGTTCATGTGGATCAAATACATACCCAGCTCATACAGGGAACCGTCTTTATGGACAAACGCGACAAAGTGATGGTACACTTCCACATCTTCAGCTGGTGCCTAAAATAAGAAGAAAATATATGGTTTAAAATTTATTGTTTATTGTTTAAATGGCTGAAATTTATGGTTTAAAAGAAAATCATTTTCAGCTATGAAATAGAAAGTACCTCGGTCTGTCCTTCCTGGGCAGATTCCATATGAGTATCGATGATATCTTGCGCTTTTTCTAAACGTTCGCCACGTTCAATATACGAAAGTCCTTTGGTTTCCTCTAAAAACTTTTTGAAAAAACCATCCTCCAACTGTATCCTGTAACGAAAAATGGATACTTTTATTGTTTACTGTAATAGATTAGATTATGTATGATCATAGATGCTCACACATCCAAATTATTCGCCACGCTGTGAAGTAATGCAATTGTTCCACACGCATTTGAAATAGATTGCTTTATGTGATAAACTGATTCTACAGCATCATTCTTGCTATCCTTAGCTTCTGCTTGCTCTTCTTTAGTCTTTTCAATCTAAGGAGATAATAAAACAAACCTTGCTTGTAAAAACACATTAGTCAAATCCCAAAATGTTTCATTATACATTGGAACCTCATAATAGTAAACCTTGAATTAATGCACAAAATCCTCTCTTTTTCTTTGTCCAATGATTTTCTACTCGAAGTCAAAGTACTATACAAATCAAATGTGATAAAGTATTGAATTTCTAATCAATTGTAAAGTATACAGTAAAATAAAACTCTTTCATATGCGTTGGACACATGTGAGGAGCACGAGTGGAAAAAGGGAGATAGTCGTGGAATTGCAGCCTGCACAGCTCCACGAATAGAGTCCTGAATACAGTTTTATATAACATCTGTTTTTTTATTTTTGTATTAGACTGCACTATGTGCCTATATTCATAATCATCTTATATTTAAAGCTTCCTTAAGTTCATCTTTAGATACTCTGCAGCTAATAAAATAATTCATAGAGCATTTGAAGATAAATTTAAGGAAACCTCAAATATAAGGCTTGACTATACTATGAATATGAGTACGTAACTTTCTTTTTTGCTTTTTCCAAATATCAAACATATATCTATCTCATTTTAAGTTCCAAAAGTATACATCAGATCAGTCATCAAAAACAGACTTATAATTATAACATTAAACTGTGCCTTGAACTTTATTGTTTAAAAGTGAGAATAATTTCGTTATTATGTTCAACATGTATGTTATTATGAGGTTCCAGTGTATGGCTATGTGTTTGTGTTTACACTGCGCTTAGTCCGCGACCTATCTGATAGGTGTCTTTGTTTAATCTACAGGATAAACAAGGACATCTATTGTATAGGCCACGGTCCAAATACACGTTGTAAATGTAGCGAATTGTTATATATCATGTATGTACCTTTGACGAAATAGGATAAAGCAAAATGACGGCAAGGACAGGCCTAGGGATGATTGCCAACAATTCCGACTCTAAGCCGTATACATCTAAGATCGACCACTTCTTTGGAACACCCAACTTGTGTAGGAACTGTAAAAACAAAAATCGTATACATTGAATTTTTATACATTCAAAGATTATGCCAGAGAAATCTGGAAGACTGTTTCCTCTGTTTTTTTCACCAGAAGTGTGTTATTGATCGACGAAGTACCGTGTGTTCGAGGAAATAATGAAATTGACTGACTAAACGTTGCAACTGCTTACCTTTGTCATAACCTAAAACAGAAAACACGCTTATTCAATTGCTGTACGAACAACAACGTATCGCAATTCGACAGAAAACTCAATTACCTCTGGATTCGATTCCAAGGGTACCCAAGCCATATTAAATATTTCGTGATATCTCCCACAAGAAACTCCGTTCCAAAATGCCGGTAAATGTCTATTCGGTTTATCTTTTAACGAGCCGATCTTCTCACGTTTCGTGTTTCGTCTCGCGTCCTTGTTCACAAAGACAAAGTCGATTCAAATTCTTGCAGTCCTGTTTCCATGAAAGTGTAAAACGGCAAATCACGCTACGTTTTGTTTTCAAATTGTGCGATTTTACTTACAATTGGACGCGTGCGAAAATATTCCAGAACGCGATTACTTAAGGCTGTATTCCTGAAAAATATCGCATACGAAAATGTATGAAATTATAATATACGTGACGTATATTATTTTTGTATGCAATGTTTTCTAAGAATAAAGGCTGTTCTACAATGTGCTTTTTGTTTCCTGTTTCTTGCTGTTTGTCTCTCTTGCATTCTTGATCAAAAAGGCAAAAGACAAACAGAGACAAACAGCAAGAAACAGGAAACAAAAAGCACATTGTGGAACAGCCATAAGGCTTCAGATTTCACTTCGCACAAAACAAAGAAACATAATAACTTTGATCGACATTTCGACAAGAAACGATCGACAGATGCGATTGGCCAATTCCAATGTATTAACCGTTGTTAAAATTTATTACGGGAATGGTCGCGAAGTGGCCCTAAAGGCCAAAAAGGGATCAAAAATCATACTTTATTCTCGAAAAATATCGCATATGAAAATACTATAGTATATGTCACGTTATAGATTTCCCTATAGTATAATATGCGATATTTTTCGATAAGACCCAGCTGAAGAATGAGCAAGTTTTCTTTTCGAAGTATCAAATTAACGAATATTTAGTAGAGCTATGAAAAACGAGATGCTAAATACCGATAGAAGTAAATATGTAAAAAAATTTTAGAACGTAGTATATCACTTTTTATGCAAGTGCAACATAAATTGCACGAGCATCTATTTTATAAATCGCGCATCTCGAATGATATAATTTGTTGTAAACAATCCCTGTGAGATCAAAGTGGAACTGAGATATACACACATGATCATGTATTGGTTCAAGATAATATAATATACTCCAGTGATAGGAGATAATAATATTTATATTTATATCACTTATATATCATTAATAGTATTGTAAACACGAAATTGTGTGTTAATCCAGCATAATTTGTAAATAGGTATCAATAAATTTGAGTTTATATAAATCTGTAATTGTCAATTTTCTAAATACATACTATTTTTTGAGATTTTTATAAATTTTTGTTACAATAATACCTAATCCATCTTAATGAAGATTAATTAAATTAATTATCTTATAATAAAATTTTTGTACATATATACATTATTTGTAATTTAAATTAAATATTATTTGTAAAATGTTCTAGTGCTTTTTTTTTGTGGAATTACAGCGTAATAATTCCGATCAATAAATATTAAATTATATTTAATGTATAAATTAGATACATCGAGATCAATAATAATGTAATCTTTGTCTTAAAAAATACCAAGAGATTCGATCTAATCTAATCTCAAAATATACAAAACAATATGTAGCAATAGAATTCTCGATGATGTTTAAGGCAGACTACAGAAATAAAAGGGTCGTCCAACAATATCATTGTTTTCATTACAAGTTTCCTAGCAGGACGATGCTGCTTGTACATATTTCGTGCGTCATTTTGATCCTCTGTGCATCATTGTCAGAAGCGTATATTAATGTGATAACGAAAAGAGATGAGGATTTTGTACCATTTTCAACAAAAGCAAAGTATGCTCCAACGTGGTCTAGTCTAGACAGTCGACCACTACCATCCTGGTACGATGAAGCAAAGTTTGGAATCTTTATTCACTGGGGTGTATTCAGCGTACCCAGCTTTACCTCTGAATGGTTTTGGAGCTATTGGAAAGGTTGAATATGTAATATATGGTACTTTTCTGCAGTAAGAGACACAGTAGTATTATAACACAGTGATTATTTCATCTTTGTTAAACATTGGCAAATAATAAAAATATTGATTCACTGTGTTACACCATGTTATCCGTGTTTTTTGCTGGAAGGTACTCATATACTCTATTTCTATAATGAAAAAATATTATAAAGATTAATGTGATATCTTATAATTATAAATAATACTGAAGGAGGATTGAAGACTGTAATCGACTTTATAAAACAAAGATATCCTCCAAATTTCACCTATCAAGACTTTGCACGAGATTTCACTGCTGAATTCTTTAATGCTTCCGACTGGGCAGAGTTATTCCAAGTATCAGGTGTAAAGTATATTGTATTGACAAGCAAGCATCATGAAGGATATACGCTGTGGCCGTCAAAGTATTCATACAGCTGGAATTCTATGGATGTGGGGCCTCAAAAGGATCTTGTTGGTAATAAAGATATAATCCTAATAATAAGGTTTCGCATTAAATACAATGATTTTTGTAAATATTCTTTTTTTTTTATATAAAATAGGTGAACTGGCAGAAGCTATTCATAAGACAGATATAAAGTTTGGCTTGTATCATTCCTTATTTGAATGGTATAATCCTCTCTACGTGGCAGACAAAAGCAACAATTTTACAACAGATAAATTTGTAACTCAGAAGGTAATACCAGAATTACGTGAGTTAATAGAAACATACAATCCAGATATAGTTTGGTCAGATGGAGAGGGAGAAGCAACAGATTCTTATTGGAAATCAAAGGAATTTTTAGCCTGGCTATACAATGAAAGTCCTGTGAGAGATACAGTAGTGGTAAATGATAGATGGGGCATTAATACAGCATGCCACCATGGTGGGTTCTATACATGCGCTGATCGTTTTAATCCTGGTAATTTATTATCATATTCTTCCTCTTATCTACAATTAAGTATAATTATAATTATCAAATTAATAGGCATTAATAGATATCAATAACTGATTACATTACTATTAACAAAAATTTGTTTTCTAGGTGTACTTCTCCCACATAAGTGGGAAAACTGTATGACTATTGATAAAAAATCCTGGGGATATCGCAGGAACGCTGTTTTATCCGATTATTATACATTGGCGGGATTAGTAAAGGAGTTAATAATTACTGTAAGCTGCGGTGGAAATTTACTGCTGAACGTTGGACCAACAAAAGATGGTATCATTACACCAATATATGAAGAAAGATTACGAGGAATGGGTACACATCTTTTATATCTTATCATGTTTTTTTTATTAGTATCTTGATTAATTCAGATATCAATTTTTTAATATTGTCGTTTTAGGCGCCTGGCTAGCAGTTAACGGCGAAGCAATTTATAATACTAAGCCTTGGACAGTACAAAATGATACCTTAACAGGAAGTGTCTGGTACACATTAAGCAAAAATGAAAAACAATTGTATGCCTTAATTTTAGAATGGCCAGATGATAATATCTTATTATTAGGCTCGCTCAAACTTTCGAAGAGTTCTCAGATACATCTACTTGGTTATTCATCAATAATTCCCGTAAGTGTTATTACTTTCATATATGTATATGTTATGAAAGTGATAATAAAATAATTTTGAATATTCACATTTCAGTGGAAACAATCCGATAATAAGCTAGAAATAAGTTTACCAGCTAACGCACACAGAGGTGAGCCAGCTTGGGTATTAAAAATTAAGAAAAATATTGATTAAATAGAATTTTTTTTTTTTTAGAGTTTTATTTTATATGTAAAATATATAGATTGTTACACAATAATATGTATGTATGTAATATATGTATATAAAATACATGTATTAAAAATAGGTTTTATCTGATAGATGGCTACTAATATAAGATATTGTCCATATGACAAACTCTTCTCTCTTTCCTTTTATTTTAAATTCCTGCGATCTTATTTTCATGAAAAGCACAAATCGAGATTCTCGTTCTCGAATTGTGCGATATAATACTCTTGAAATATTTGTGCGACACGATTGGTCATAGTGGTAGCCATACAATTGGTAGTAAATCGTATATGTGCTGTACACGTCAAACTAGTCATTAACATAGTGATCGTTCCTCAAAATTGAAACAAATAATACTGATATTCTATACAAAAAGATAAAAAAAGAAAATTTTATAGAATCTTAGTATGTCATTTTTCATTTTTAAGCAATTTCGTACATTTACATTTATTCCCTTCACTGTATCCCTTCCTTTTCTCTTATAACATAAATTGTATCTCAAATGATATTTTAGTTTTATATTTTGTAATCATGATAGGGACAAAATGCGAACGTGTAATTATGTAGTCAATTCTCAAAGTTAATACAGATAATAAACATTTACATTTTTTTAGCAAAATTAATATTTATGATATGTTAAATTAACGCATATTTTATTCATTTGTGTTAGAATTAACGTTTTAGAATACATTTTTGTTTACTTATTCACAAGTTGTGTTATTTTCATACTGAAAAATATGACATATCAATTTAACACAAAATATTTTAATAACATAATCACATTGGATTAAATTAATACTCGAATATGTTAAAAAAATGTAATGGAAAATTTTAACAAGGACTTGAATCGTTTCTAACATAAATATAAAACATTTTCTGTGGAAAAATTCAGTAACGATCTAATCTAATCTCGAAATACGATACGATACAAAACAGCACACAGAAATAGAATCTTCGTCGAGATTTCATACAACTGATAGGAATAAAAGACCGGATTGACGTCTGTTACTTTCATTTATGTCAAGCCTCGGATCAGAATGATGCTATTTGTACACATAATTTTATGCATTGTGTTAATTCTTTGCGTGTCAGTAAAGGCGCATTATACCGTGATAGTAAGAACGGAAGAGGAAAATTTTGTGTCAACTTTAACAAAAGCGCCCAAATATGTTCCAACTTGGCCCAGTCTAGACAGTCGACCATTACCAGTTTGGTATGATGTTGCAAAATTTGGAATCTTTATTCATTGGGGTGTATTCAGTGTGCCCAGTTTTGGCTCTGAATGGTTTTGGAACAATTGGAAAGGTAGAGTGTTATACTATTTATATTTATAAATGTCACGTGAGTGTACTTATAATATTTATATAATGTTATATATTTGTGTGATGTTACAGAAGAAACTGAAACTACAAAATACTCCGACTTTATGAAACAAAGATATCCTCCGAACTTTACCTATCAAGACTTTGCACGTGATTTTACTGCCGAGTTCTTCAATGCTTCTGAATGGGCTGAGTTATTCAAGGCATCAGGTGCAAAGTATGTTGTACTGACAAGCAAACATCACGAAGGATATACATTGTGGCCATCGAAGTATTCATTCAGCTGGAATTCTATGGATGTTGGACCTCAGAAAGATCTTGTTGGTAATAAAGATATATATCTAACAATAAGATTTCGTATTAAGTATGACAATTATCATATGTATTTCTTTTTCTATAAAATAGGTGAACTAGCAGAAGCTCTTCGTAGCAAGACAGATATAAAGTTTGGCTTATACCATTCTATGTATGAATGGTATAATCCCCTTTATGTAACAGACAAACAAAACAATTTTACAACAGATAGATTTGTGACTCATAAAATAATACCAGAATTGTATGAGTTGGTAGAAACATACAAGCCAGAAGTAGTTTGGTCAGATGGAGATTGGGAAGCATCGGATTCTTATTGGAAATCGAAGGAATTTCTAGCATGGTTATACAATAAAAGTCCTGTAAAAGATACGGTTGTGGTGAATGATAGATGGGGTAGTAATATACCGTGCCATCATGGTGATTTCTTTACATGTACAGATCGTTTTAATCCTGGTAAATAGCACAAAAATTATAACAATATAAATTATGTGTAGAATAATATTATTAAATGAAGATATGTATTGTACATATAGGTGGATTTATAATTAATAAAATTTTGTTTGTTAGGCGTACTTCTCCCACACAAGTGGGAAAACTGCATGACTATTGATAAAAAATCCTGGGGATACCGCAGAAACGCTGTTTTATCCGAATATTATACATTGGAGGGATTAGTGAAGGAGTTAGTAATTACTGTAAGCTGTGGTGGAAATTTACTGATGAACATTGGGCCAACAAAAGATGGCATCATTACACCAATATTTGAAGAAAGACTACGTGGAATGGGTATATATATTTTATATCTTATCATATTTTTTCTTATTAATATCTTGATTAATTCAGATATTAATTTTCTAATAATCTTAATGATATACAAGTAAATTTATCGTTTTAGGTGCCTGGCTAGCAGTTAACGGCGAAGCTATTTATGATACTAAGCCTTGGACAGTACAAAATGATACCTTATCAGGAAGTGTCTGGTACACATTAAGCAAAAATGAAAAACAGTTGTATGCCTCAATCTTAGATTGGCCAGATGATAATATCTTATTGTTAGGCTCGCTCAAACTTTCGAAGAGTTCTCAGATACACCTACTTGGTTATTCATCGATAATTCCCGTAAGTGTATTACTACTTTTATTTAATTAAGTATATGTTAAGTATGTGTACTTTTATTTATTTAAGTATATATTATGAAAATGATAGTAAATAATAAATGACAGTAATTTTGAATATTCATTCCAGTGGAAACAATCCGATAAGCTAGTAATAAGTTTACCAGCTAACGCACACAGAGGTGAGCCAGCTTGGGTACTAAGGATTGGAACTCTTTAAAATGTACATATTATTTAATTAAGAGTATGTATTATATTGTACATTAATTTTAGAAATCTGTATGAATCTTAGAAAACATTTTTATAGAATTTTTGTAAAGTTTTTAAAAAGGCATATACAATGTTGTAAATGCAAAATTTTATATATATTTTAACTAAAGTTGTATAACGCTTTGAAGTAAATTAATAATAAAAAAATTCCAAGCACCTTGAACTCAGATAAAGCTATTGCCAACAGCAAAATATTACACACGAGCTACTTCATATAGATAAGCTGCAAGGAGTTTCGTCTGGAAACAGTGAAAAAATAAATTATTTAATATATTGATTATAATGAAAAATCAGTAAATGTTTAGACGATTGCTAATTTCAATAGTTATACTTACCCCTTGGATGTAGTTATGTACACTTAACTTTTCATTTTGAGAATGTGCACCATCATCACCCTGACCAACTGGTAAGAGCAATACATTTTTACCAGTAACTTCTTGAAAGGTCAAAGTAACTGGTATCGATCCACCTTCGCGAGAGAGATCAGGTTCTACATTATAAACATGTTGAGTAGCTTTTCGACCAGCTACGTAATTCGGATGATCGGGATTCTCGGACCATGGTTTGCCACCGTGGCACAGGCTCACATTCATAATATTTGGGCTACCCCTCTCTTGCCATTTCTTATTTATATATTTGGTCACCTTCTTAGTCGTCTCGTCTGGAGTCATGTCAGGCACTATTCTAAGCGAAAATTTGCCAATAACTTTACTCGGAATTACTGTTTTTGCTCCTGGTTCACTGAAAGCACCCTCTATTCCATGAAGAGACAAACTAGGTTGCCTCCAACGATGCATTAAGAGCTTAGTCTGTAAAAATTGGTATAAATAAAGACTTATATTTAATGTAGATTTCAGAATTTTTATAGTAGAAAATAAATAGAAACTAAATATGTACATACTTTATCTTCCTTATGTGCTAGTTCTTTAGTTCCAACTGTTTCCCTAAATTCATGTACATCAAAATCTATATCCTTATAACTGTCTAATTCGGCTTTCGTCAATTCTGCGACACTATCATAAATGCCATCTATCAAGATGCGACCGTTAACATCGACCAGAGTATTCATTAAGTAAATCAAATCTGCCATAGCTTCGTATACGCATCCACCAAAAGTACCGCTATGTAAGTCCTTAGCGGCGCAAGTGACTTCCAATTGATAATAGCAGATACCTCGTAGACCATAAGTGACACATGGTTTTTTAGTGCCCAGCCAATAATTGTCGGATATGCAGATATAATCTACGTCCTTTAAAAAACTATCTTTCTTTGCCCAAAGAAGTTCATCCAAACCTTCACTACCACTTTCTTCCATTCCTTCGAAGACAAACTAAGCAAAGATTCCAAAGGTAAGTTAAGATGAATGTATTGTAAAGTAAATATTGATTAACAATACCGAGTTAAGTATTCTTAATTTCGTGAGAAAATACCTTGAGATTGACAGGAATCTTGATTCCAGTTGCTTTATAAGCTTGCAATGCATGTATCCAACAAAGAACTGGTCCTTTATCGTCTGTACTGCCTCGACCATAGAGTTTTCCATCCTTCTCGGTAAGAGTAAACGGTTCAGTATCCCAGCCATCCTTCATTAACGCGGGCTGTACATCCAAATGTCCATATAAAAGTACGGTTTTTTTCTTCGGATCTGAGCCAAGACTTCCAAGTAACACAGGAGGAAGTGGGATTTTACTGCCATCAGGAAGAGTCTGTTTTCCTACATCAGCCAATTCCGTATTTGCTCCAAGATCTTCCAATCTCGCTTCTGCCCATTTCATCATTTTAATCACTTCGTCTCTGTGGTCCGGCCATGCTGACACAGATTTAATAGCTATTGCCTTTTTCAAGTTATTTATATATTGCTCTTTTTGTTCATCTATGTATCTACAAGTGTGAAAAAGTGAAAGATCAACAGTAATTATAAATAAAATGTACCCAAGAAGAACAAGTCACGATAACGTCAAAATGACATCAAAATGAATCCAGAAACGATTGAAAAATGACTTTTAGTGATCATTTTGGAGTCATTTTGATATCATAGGGTGCTTTCCAGCAAGGGACACAGTCAGACACAGTGTAACACAGTGAATCATACGTCCTTGTTGTTTGCTTACGTTAAACAAGGATAAAACGATTCACTGTGTTACACTGTGTTTGATTGTGTCCTTGCTGGAAAGCACCCATAATCTTGTTCTGCTTGGGTACACACGAACGTGTATATACATTAAATCTCAAAAATCTCTTCGGATACATTTGCTTTTGTTCTCAACAAATTAGAAATATTTTAAAGAATAAAACGAAACGTACTTAAACAAAGTTGTCAATGCTGTTGGTAACGCCATGGTAATAACTCCGTTCAAACGCAGATCATACACAGTACGAACTGGAACTAACACGACTGCCAACAATAGCTGTAACTCAGGCACAACTGATACAACGGCGATCAGGTACTCTTATCGTGATCGTGGAAGTTCTCCCTCTCTCGCTCCCTCTCCTTCTCTCTCTCTCTCTCTCTCTCTCTCTCTCTCTCTCTCCCCCCCCTTCTTTTCTCTCTTTTTTTCTCTAGAAGAACGTCCTGCGAACTCAACAATAACATAACACAAGTAACATAATACTTCTCTGGCACGAATGTATACGAAATATCGGCACACAGTGATACCTAATCGTTCATATTTGAATGTGACCAATCAAAATGTTTTACACAATCTCATAGAAACGTAATATTGCAGCGTATCTTGCATTTTATGTTGTAATTTTTTATAAACGGTTAATTATTTAGCGTTATCTATCCAATATTAATGTCAAATAAACATGTATTATCTCTACTGTCATGTGACTGTAAAATACAGAACATTGGCGTAGAACGTCCATATATATATTTTTAATTTTACTTTTCTCGCGTAAGTCTTTCTGTTTGACGTATTATACATGAATTTATTTTGGTCTATAAGTAACATTTCGTAGATAAAACGTTTCGTTTAATCGTAAGAAGAATAAGAAAGAAAGTCATTAGAGTAAGATATTAGGGTGAAATAATTGTGTAACATACTTTATTCTGTCTCGAAAATGAAAAATGCAACCATTGTGATATTGTAATTACTTTGATAATTATCATTACTAGTGGTATATTTTACATGAAACGTACGTTGTTTAAATACTTTTATGTATATATGTATCACTTAACTATACATATTTAAATACAAGTATACATTCGAATATATTTTCACATAATTACTGAAATAATGTTTTTAAAATTATTTTTCAAGTTAATAGATTAAGGTATAAAGGTGCATTTTAAAATAAATTCTCATACGATATATTATTAATAATATAATCAATTGATTATATTATTGAATATCAATTTTACCCAAGTAACACAGCAGCGTTTGCAAAGCAAAAACGATTATATGCGCTTTTTTAGCGCTTTGTAAGTGCTGTGTGTTTAATATCGTTTTAAATATGATTATAATAAGACATTATATAATCATTTTATCGATTATATTATTAATATGTGGTATGAGAATTTATTTTAAAATGCAATTCATTTTGGATTAAGGTAATAGACGCAAGAATAGACTTAAAATGCTCTTGATTAGGTCACAAATATCTTTTGACCTCGAGATATATACCGCACATTTTATTATTTCATGGGCTGAATGAATAGACGCAAGAATATACTTAAAACGTTCTTGATCAGGTCATAAATATTCTTTGACCTCGAGATATACCACACATATTATTATTTCATGGGCTGGATGAACTTTTGAGATTACACTTGAAATTAGACTTTAAGATGATATTGAATGCAAAATCGCATATGAATATATTGTCTTTAACTTACAATTAGTACAATTTTAGGGACTAGATATATTTTCTTTGATTTCATTCTTGATTTCGAATATTTCGATTAGGACGTTATTAAGCTTTCCATATCTACGGTATCATGTACGTACGTACAATACATTATATCTACGTTACATATTTCAAAGCCCATTTTATGTGTGTGTGGCCCTATATTTTTTTATCTTTTTATCTCAAGACAAGAAGTCGAAACAGTTCCCTCGAAAATAATCATTTTTTTCATTTTCAGCGAATATTTTTGAAATTATATTTCGACGTTATATTTTGTAATTTTTAATTTGTTTCCTAACATTGAAAATGACTTGATCGAGTTGAAACGTTTGTTTGTAATTTGATATTATTAAATAGTCTTTTGTATTTTTATATCTGGCTCGTTACCCAACTTTGTACGTTTTGTTTCACACAAAAGTTTAAGTATAAAATTTAAGTAGTAAGTAAAAGTTTAGGTATATATTTTATACTCTTAATAACATATATTCACGTTTTTCGAAAATGTAAATGAAAAAATCCATTATTATTTTTTTTTTTCGACGATTGTTTCAACTCTAAAACTTCAAGATAAGCAGATAAAAAAATATAGATCTAATATTTTTGATGCTTTACAACATATTTAAAGCCTATCAAAATGGGTAAGATACGCAGGACGCCACCCTTGCGAGTACATTCACCCGAAACTATCCCTGCAGTACGCATGTCGCGTATCCGTCAGAAGGCGACTGTTCATCGATATATAGATTTTATTGTCGACACAACTTGATTTCAACCGCCGTGGTGTACTCCAACTTGTCCTTTGCAGTCAAACTATATTTTTCATCTCTTCTCTCTTTCTTCTGAATATCTAATCCCATATATCTCTCTCTGTTTCTTTTTAAGTCAAGACTGTAAGCACAATGCAGTGCAGGGGCTGCAAGGATGCATGCATCGCGCTGTTAAGCTCTTCACGCGCAAGCGCGATTTGCCAGGAAATGTCAAACAGACCAACTCTTTTCTTTCTCTCTTTCTCCCTCCTACTGTGCGTTAGATAATCATTTTCGTCGAATAAAACGCATCTCAAGCATGACGCCAAGCATGACGCCGGCCGAGGAGAATACGCCGCCCGATCGCGCTTGTTGATGCGATTTGCTACGCCTCTCTCTCGTGAATCCTCCACCGTGTGTGTTGCATCGTGATTTCAGTGAGATTAACTCACAAACGACATAATGCCAATAAACGTACTCACAGCTTCACCGGCCCATTGCTCCATAACGAGATACCTGGCAGCATGTCGCTCCTCCACAAATCGTAACTCCGTGCGTTAAGTCATATTCCATTGGCATTACTAAGCAAACACCGACTGAATGTTCATTCGTTACGACGTTTACACATCAATTGTCAACGAAGCAGAAACTTCAACGAAGACAGAAGTATAATTATAATGCCTGTGTTACACTGCATATAATTCCCAGAGTTGTTGAGTCCTAGATAAATTAGGTACGTAAAGGGAGAATGTACGCATTTGACTCTCTAGTTATCCATTTTACATACTATCTTTAACTTATATAATAATTTATTTCTGAAAACATACTTTTAACAATTAGATAGACGAAGCTACAGTAATAAATTTCTATTCTATTCATTTAGATAAACAATAAGAACGGAGTGCAGAGATGGTACGTGTGATAACGGTACACAATTTCCTAGGGCAGAATGTCGCCCAAATCGAGGAGTCCACCGCGACATGCACAGCAATCAGCCAGGGACAGGAGATGCTCCTACTGGCATTGCCCACACATTGCGTGGAGGTATGGGAGCTGATGAATTCGGACGTTAAACTGCGTACTGTTTTCCCCACAGTGGATATGATCAAGCAAATGGTACATTGCACTAAGGGAGATTATGTCGTGACGCTGGAATCAAAATATCTCAGAGATACTGCGAGCAATAATCATGCAAATAGAGCTACTTCTAATTTTGTAAGGATTTATGTAAATTGGGCTATAGCGAAGGATCAGAGTCAACCAATGCGAGCCAGGATTGCCGGTCGGGTCACGCCGAGTTTAAATCGACCCTTGAACAGCTTAGAAATGATAGAGTTACCTCTGAGCGTGCAGCCTACATTGATTGCTTGCTGCCAGTGCACTGGAAACTTACTGATAGCCTCGGGAAACAGTGCTATTCTGCATGAGTTCAAGATTGAGACGCAACAAGTATCAAAGATAAAGTTTATAGATTTTGAGCCTAGACCATGGTCATTAGGATTCACGTTTACACCTACGCGCATGGAAATCATAGAGGATTTTATAGCAATCATGGATAATACAACTTTATCCGTTTTTCGTCTCACAAACTCAATGTACGAAGATATTGACCAACTTAGCTCTTTAACTTCCACTTCTTCTTCCGTCGATAAAACGTCCATATCCACAGATTCATCTCTTGTAGAAAATAGCAGTAGTCTTGGAAATGACGATGCGTCACTGCCGGGAACAAATATAAAGCATAAAACTATAGATCAAGATTGTCAATACGTGACATCTGAAAATAATGAGTCGGTAATATCCAATGTAAAATCTAAGGATAAAAAACACAAGGGCACAAAAGGAAGTATATGGTATAAGTCAGAAACAGGTGATTTCAATAAAATAAAGGCAAGTAATAATAAGAATTACATAGACTGGGAACATCTAATATACAATGAAAAAGATGAGATGCAAAGGCTAATTACGCAAGGAATTATTGATCCCTCTTCACAGCCATTGACGGTGAATCTGCCGTTGATAAGTTTAGAAAGAGTTGGTCCAGGTCATGCTCTCAGTCCTTTTATATTAAATCCAGCGGACATAAGAATTTTTATTAAAACAACCTCACCTGATATAGGCTGGTCTGAAAATTATATAATAAAAAATTTATTATGTCTAAAAATCAATGTTGGAAATAATAATGCCAAGGTAGACGGAATTCTAGAAATCTTCAAATGCATGGTATTGAAGCCGTTGTACATGAAGAAGGAATGTAACATCACTGGTGTGAAAAAGTCTATGTTGCGATCTGACAAGTACAGATACTTGCAAGGTATAAGTTGCTTTGTCTGTACTACGCAAGAAGGATATTTGTATCACTTTGCCGCTGCAAGCAGCAGTTCTGTAGATGCAACGTGCCTGACCACTTATCCATTCACCGCACCTGTTCATCATGTGGCGCTGGAGCACACAGTACTTCATGCATTGACCGAGGCTGGTCTCGAGTCCTACACATTACGTCTTTCTCATCATATCGCGAAATTGTCAAATAGTACAGATGGTATGAGAGCGACTTGTCCCAGTATTATCGAACCGATAAGTTTGATTGGTTTAAGACCGTTCTTAGGAATACAGAAATTGTTGCATATAAGGAATTATATAATTCTGCTGGCTAAAGCCGACAATTCATGGACAATGTACTCTTTGAATTTACCTAAATTCGAAAACGTATATTTCGATATATTGAATGCAGCAAGGAATCACAAATCCTCTAGTCCAAGTACTTATCGACATTTGCTAGGAGAAGCACACGCCTTGATACGCTTAGCAAAGGATGTTTTCTATGATATGAATAACGAGGAATTCGACGATACGACACACAAGAACAATCTCAAGTTAAAAAATCTCTACAAT